TCAACGCGTCAGATGCGGAATTTCACGAAAGCGGATGGGTCCAGTTTCGGCATTTGCACGTCTTATTCCATGGCCAAAGTACAATAAACTGTGCGACACTATGGATCGAGACATAGAGAGTTCATGTTGATGTTGCACAAGAACTAGTTGCTCCGTAAATAACACTTTCGCGAACGATCTCTATAAAACCACGTACAGCAATTTAGCTTGTATTCAAAAGTCGTTTAGGTGAACAAACCGCTTATTAAGGAAGTAAACCTATTTCAGGACATCAATATCTCTTAGAAACAATAAGTGGCGGCTACTTGACAATACACCTAACCGAATAAACAACCTGTATATTGTCTTTCGTCTTGATTTCTGTCATACCATACACCTAAACGTGCTGCGGTGCTGGTGCCATGAACAGAAACCGGTATTAAGCTTTGCTCATTGCACGCGTATCGGTTCGAACTGATTCCACAGTAGCCTTAGGATCTGTTGCAAACGCGTGTATCGCACACCCTAGACGTAGACTTTCATAAAAATTTGGTTGCTTCGATTAATTTCGTCACCAGATTATAGACAGACTCCAGCAGCCCACTGGTGCATTGGAAAGGAGAGATAGCGTAAGCCTGACTGTGGGTCGTTCTTCCTCCCGGCAAATCAGTGTACTTTTCACCACAGTAAATCTAAATAGTTTGAATACTTCACGACACACAAAGGGTCATGGAATGGAAAATAACCAATTTCTTCTCACGGTAAGGAATCGACTTCCAAATACTGCGAGAGGATATAGACCAGCTGCACTCGTGTTGGTGCATGAACTTCAATCCCAAAATGTGCAGTTATGCGCATGTTATCAACAAGACGCCACAGAAATACACTTCCAGGACGATATTTTTTGGGAGACCAACCACTTGAAACCGTGAGTGGGCAAAGAGACCTTGTATACCTATTAAAGTTGACGTAAGTGTCACAACACAGTGCTGCAAAGTCGCAATGAGGGCTATGTTGGTCATGAGCACCATACGAATAACGCTTCTTGAATGAAAATATCGCCGGAAAAGTATATAAAACATTCGTGCGGCCGCATCTGGAATGTGCGGTACAGTCTTGGCGGCCTTGGCTTCTGAAATACATAGGGATTTTTGAAGGTGTCCAAAGACGTGCTACTAAGGCGGTCCCTAAAAATAAGCAATTCACATTCGAACAACGTTTGACTGCTTCAAATCCCTCTCCTCTCCATTATTAAAAAAGACTGACAGAAACGTTTCAATTACTAAGAGTAACTGGTCTGGATATCAAGCGGGAGGATTTCTTTCAAAAGGTCCCAAGGAGGAAAATCAGAAGACACGACTGCCAGTTGAAAAAGGAAGTGAGCCGCCCAAACCAACGTTCATCTTTCTTCTCTCAAAGGGTCATTCGATAATGCAACTCCTTGCCAGAGTCTGTTGTGCATTCAGCCACTGTGAACGTGTGAAAGAGATATCTGGATCATTACATGTGAAAGGCAAAGCAAACCAACAAACACTCG